GTTGTCTGTCTGTCTGTCTGTCTGTCTGTCTGTCTGTCTGTCTGTCTGTCTGTCCGCCCGTCTCACTGCCTACCCTGCCTGCCCGTGTTGCCGGAGCCGTCAGCCTGCGAAGTCCAGGATAGGCAACCCTGCCCAGCTGTGCACTGGTGCGCGCCAACTGCCTACGCTCCAGGCGCCTTCACTGACTAACTAAAGTGCGAATGACTGACTGAGTGGCTGACTGGACTAACTGACTGACTGGCTGGCGGACTGACTGACTCACTGACTGACTCACTGACTGATTGACTGACTGACTCACTGACTGGCTGATTGATTGACTGACTTACTGACTGACTGACTGGCGGACCGACGGACTGACTCACTGACTGATTGACTGACTCACTCACTGACTGACCTCAGACTCACTGACTGACTGACTCACTGACTGACTCACAGACTCACTGACTCACTGACTGACTGACCACTGACTCACTGACTGACCACAGACTCACTGACTGACTGACTGACTGACTGACTGACTGACCACTGACGTGTGACCGACTGCGGCTTATCGGGTCGGGATGTTCGTTCCGTTTCGCACCGTTTCGCCGAGTTGTGTTACGACCCGCTGCCGCCACGCTGCAGACCGACTCCGAGAGTCCTTTTCGTCGCTCTGTCTCTGTCGCACGCATGTGACGTGCCGTATGGGTGCGAGAGAGACGAGGCCGAGGGCGCCGTGCTCGCGGTGCTCTGTGTTTCGCCGACGGCCAAACCGAAGAAAGTGTGCCCCGGCGTCCGGGCCTTCGTCTATCTTCGTCTCTTACGGGGGTCCTGGCGGGGCACTATTGTTCCATTATTGTTTTCCTTTTATTACCACCTCGCGTCGCGCGGCGTCGCATGGCGTGGCGTGGCGCGGCGTGGCGCGGCATGGCGTGGCGTGGCGCGGCGTGGCGCGGCGTGGCGCGGCGCGGCGCGGCGCACCCATCCGGCGGTGACTTGAGGCAGGCCATGGATGGCCCTGTGCCTTGGCTGCACCTGTTGCTTCCGAGAAGCAGAACAGATGCGGCAGATGCACCGCGTCCTTCGCCCAGCCCTCGGCGCCCTCGGCCCGGCCTAGGGTGGTCCAAAAAAAAATGAAGTTGCTCGGATCGTCCAACGCCGCCCGGATTTGGATTCTACATAGAAAAAAATGAAATACGTGTTTTTTCCTTTTTCGAAAAAATGATTTTTAGGACTTCCTCAAAGCCCTCAAAGTTTTTAACAGTGCTATTAATAGGAAAAAATCGTAACTTGGTCATTTTTTGACCGATTTTCAAAAACGAAACGGGGATTTGTTCGTTTTTGAATGCTTATTACGAAAAAAAATATGCCCAACCCTCTTTTTGGTTTGCCTAACTCTCAGGGGCAAAAAATGACTAAATTTCGGCCCAAATTGACAAGAGTTTCAGTTTGTAGGCCGCTACAGCCACTCCAAGTCCACCCTGTCAGCGTGGCGGGGTGCCCCCACCACTAGGCAAGCCCCATGAACAGAAATGAGATGCCGAGTGCAATTTGCCTACCTCACAGGGGCATCAAATTGTGGATTTTTTCGAAAATCTATCAATAGTGGTGTCTCTTGGGGCCTCTGGGCACTCAGATGGGCACCCTTTCACCCGGTTCGGTACCCGCACTACGTGATATGAACAAACAATAGGAATGGACGTTTCTGACGCGAGGAACCGCAACCACGCAAGGCCACAAGAAAAGCCATCAAAATGAAGGAATTTTCTAAATTTTCACGTTTTTCTGGTCCTGAGAGGTAGGCATGAGGTGCTCAACAAACAATTACTATTTTTTGTTCTTATCACGTAGTGCGGGTACCGAACCGGGTGAAAGGGTGCCCATCTGAGTGCCCAGAGGCCCCAAGAGACACCACTATTGATAGATTTTCGAAAAAATCCACAATTTGATGCCCCTGTGAGGTAGGCCAATTGCACTCGGCATCTCATTTCTATTCATGGGGCTTGCCTAGTGGTGGGGGCACCCCGCCATGCTGACAGGGTGGACTTGGAGTGGCTGTAGCGGCCTACAAACTGAAACTCTTGTCAATTTGGCCCGAAATTTAGTCATTTTTTGCCCCTGAGAGTTAGGCAAACCAAAAAGAGGGTTGGGCATATTTTTTTTCGTAATAAGCATTCAAAAACGAACAAATCCCCGTTTCGTTTTTGAAAATCGGTCAAAAAATGACCAAGTTACGATTTTTTCCTATTAATAGCACTGTTAAAAACTTTGAGGGCTTTGAGGAAGTCCTAAAAATCATTTTTTCGAAAAAGGAAAAAACACGTATTTCATTTTTTTCTATGTAGAATCCAAATCCGGGCGGCGTTGGACGATCCGAGCAACTTCATTTTTTTTTTGGACCACCCTAGCCCGGCCGCGCACCTGGCTGTGCCTGGCTGGTCCAGAGAGTCGTCTCCGTCTCTCTGTCTCTCTCGCACCCATACGGGACGGCCCATGAGTGCGAGGGAGGCAGAGCGGCGAAAACGACTCTCGGAATCAGTCTGCTGTACTCCTCTCCGCGAACCGCCAAAGGGACGAAAGATCGACTCCCGGCACCTGCTCTATCCTTTTACGCTGCCCGGGTTTCCCGCGGACGCATAAATTTGAGTCCGCCAACACGCGGGGCGGCCTTTCGCGGTGTGTCGTCCCCAAAAGTGGACCGCCTCCGTCGGGGATCGAACCCACGCCGAGCGGCGGGAACGCGCACCGGAAGGAAGGACGTGCGCCCAGCTGGGGGCGGCGAGGCTTCGAAGCGGCGAGGCTAAGAAGAAGACGGGCTGACCGCAAAGTGCGACGGCCTTGCTCGCCTTGCTCTCGTTGGAGGCGCGGCGGCACACCGGCACACCGGCACGGCCAGAGGGTCAGGGATTGGCTGGCGTCCCACACACACGTCCATAAACACAATGCACACACGCGCGCGGCGCCACCTTTGACACGCTGCCTTGACTTTGCGCATTCCTCGTGCCCCTGGCCCGGCCCAGCCCGGCACACAGTGGGCCAGAGGACCGGTGGAGGCGGCCAAAACTCTAGACGCGTTTTGAGCTCCAGAGTCGCTTAATGAGGCCGAACCGACCGTGTGACCCCACCAATGGATTCCTCGTTCGGAGAGCAATCCATTGGTGGGGTCACACGTTCGGTTCGAGTCCCATTTAGCGACTCTGGAGCTCAAAACGCGTCTAGAGTTTTGGCCGCCTCCACCGGTCTTCTGGCCCACTGTGCGGCGGCCCGGCCCCTTTGACTTCGGCCTGCCTCCTCCTAACTGGGTCGGCCGGGGTGGACGCGGACGCGCACGGCGGCGGCTCGTTTCGGCGGTGTCAGAGGTGGCCGAGAACATCCTCCTCCCGGCCCGGAGGTGTTGCCTGCCCCGCCGCGTACCGCCGCGGCCCAACGAGAGAGAGAGAGAGAGACAGAGACAGACCCGTTTGCATACAATGGCCCCGCCTAGTCCTCCCGACGAGCAACATCGCGCGGCAACGTCGGCCGGCCCGGGCCAGCGTCGGCAGCGCGGTCCAATCAGGGTTATTAGCGGCGTCTTTAACCGGCGTAGTGGTGGCAGTGCTTTCTCTGTGCGTGCCAGTGTGTGTTTGTGTGTGTGTGAAGATGGGTGTCTCTGCTGGGGCTCCTCTAACCCATTTTTCTTTTCTGCCAACGGTCCATTCCTCTCTCTCACTCTCTCCCTCTCCATCGGCCAATCGGTTGGCCTGCTGCGTGCAGTAATGCCATTCATTTTGCCACCGTTTTGGTTGGACCGGCCCCGACACTGGCACTAACTCGTCAGAGAAGGAGAGAGAGAGAGAAAGGGAGGGAGAGAGAGAGAGAGAGAGAGAGAGAGAGAGAGACCCAGGTGATTTTATTTTTTATTAAATTTTATAAAGGTCCTTATAAAAATTTATTGGAGTTTTATATGATAAAGTAAGCTTTTATAAGGGCATTCGTATAAAATTTCATAACATTTTATAAAGATCTTTATAAAATTTTATAAACACCTTTATTAAATCTTATACATGACTGTATATAATTATATACAGCGGTATGCAATCTGTATATGGTTGAATGAAGCGATTGGTCATGTATTAAGTTTTATACAGGTGTGTATAAAGTTTTATAAAGGGTTTTATAAAAGTTTATACAGGGTTTTATACAGGTTTATACAGGGTCCCTTATAAATTTTAATACAAGTTTGTACATTTTAATTAAAAGTTAATAAACATTTATAAATGTTTATAAGAACCTTTATAAAATTTTATAAAAAATAAAATCACCTGGGGAGAGAGAGAGAGAGAGAGAGAGAGAGAGAGAGAGAGAGAGAGAGACGATGTCTCCTAGCGAGCGTCGATTTCCAAATGTTTATTCTTTCCTGCCCCGTGTGTAAAGCCTGCTCACGAGGTGCAGACAACCTCCAGCAGATAGGCAAGTGCCTCCGCACTGCAATGAGCACTTCGCTTCCGTCTCCGCGTGGACTGGGTTGACTGGGTAACGAATAGGCGCAGTGGCTGCCGCGGTGCCCGAGGCAGCGTGGCAGCCAGCTACCGTGGCGTGGTCTAGCGCGCCCAGCCTGGTCTAGCCCAGGGAGCGAGGAAGCCACAGCCCCAGCCAGCCCGGCAGGACCCGCCGCACAGTGGGCCAGAAGACCGGTGGAGGCGGCCAAAACTCTGGACGCGTGGAGCTCCAGAGTCGCTTAATGGGAGTCGAACCGAACGTATGACCCCACCAATCGATCGCTCTCCGAACGAGCAATCCATTGGTGGGGTCAGACGTTCGGTTCGAGGCCTGTTTAGCGACTCTGGAGCTCAAAACGCGTCTAGAGCTTTGGCCACCTCCACCGGTCTTCTGGCCCACTGTGCGCTGGCCGGGCCACCCGAGTGAGTCAAACCGACGCGCAGGTCGGTTTCAGCTGGGTAATTATGTGAATGGTAAAATTTGACGCATTTGAAGCAAGACCCGCCTTTTGGCACCTCCAATGGCCCATCGCCCCGACTCACCTTAGTGGTCCACATCCTGGATGCTGGTCGAGAAAATAGAGTCCTCACGTACACTCCTTGTCACTCTCACTTTGTTTCCAGTGTGTCAACACACTTGCACTTTTTGCACACTTGTCTCACTGACGCGGCGGCACTGGCACACACTCACACAGACTCACACACGTTCGCACTTGAGTCACACACACACACACACACGCACCAACACGCGCACGCACGCACGCTCGCTCGCGAGTGTTACTGACACGCCTCCTGCTGGACCTCGCGACGGTTCGACGTCGGTCCTCCCCGCATCGCGGCGTCCCTTCGAATGCCGGGGGCCCGGCGCGCCGGGGTTTTATAACCTCGGCCGCCTCTTCGGCGCGCCCCACCGCCGCGCGCCCCACCGCCCCACGCGCCGCCCGCCGGCGAGACCCCCTCCCCTCCATCGACATCCCCCTGGACCCTGGACGCGCAGAGGCAGCAGCCCCAGCACCCCGTCGCTGTCTCTCTCGCACCCCTGCGGGACGCCCCATGAGTGCGACAGAGACGGAGCACGCCCCCGCGGCGATCCGCTTACCGGCACCAATCAGCAGCCAATTATTTGGCCGCCTCCTCAGCGACGACCTCCTCGACGTCAACCTCGCTCCGTGGACAACGCCAGCAGCGCGGCGATCATCGACATGACGTCGGGCGCCGCGCGGGAAACGCATGCGACGCACAGTGGGGGAGGCGGCCAAAATTCTAGACGCGTTTTGAGCTCCAGAGTCACCAAATGGGACTCGAACCGAACGTGTGACCCCACCAATGGATTGCTCTCTGAACGAGGAATCCATTGGTGGGGTCATACGTTCGGTTCGAGTCCATTTAGCGACTCTAAAGCTCAAAACGCTTCTAGAGTTTATTTGACCGCCTTCACAGTCTTCTGGCCCACTCGACACCTCCTAGGAACAAGCGGCTATCTTCCAGGAGCTTCCAGACACTCGGCTATCTCTCGATAGCTTCCAGACACTCGGCTATCTTTCAATAGCGTCCAGACACTCGGCTATCTTCCTGAGCGCTTCGGAGACTCGGCTAACTGACTTCTGCGGAGAGGTTAGGGTTGTCCTTTCGATAGCGTTTTTCTTTGTTACACTTATCAGGACATGCTCACGCCATGATTTTAATCTACTCTGACAAACTTTTGACACATTTTGGTTAGGTCCCGGTGAGGGCATTTCAACTGGTTTAAAATATATACGCACCCAAACTCGGGAAGTGGGAAAAGCAGTTAGCCGAGTCTCCGAAGCGCTCAGGAAGATAGCCGAGTGTCTGGGCGCTATTGGAAGATAGCCGAGTGTCTGAAAGCTCCCGGAAGGTAGCCGCTTGTTCCTAGGAGGTGTCGCACTGTGCAACGCTGTTATGTCCAATGTTTGCACGCAAAGAGGAAGTGCCGATGTTACGTGGGTTTGTTTGTGAGTGGGAGGGGGGGGGTGAGGGTTTTTCTTCGTTGGTGTTCATTGCCGAGGCTGTGAAAATGATTGTTGTTGCTTTGCGCGTGCCTGTCTGCGAAATGTTGGGCGTCCCAGGAATGTCTGCTCCGGTAGGTTTATTAATACAAATACCACAGCAGCAGCAGCAGCAGCAAGCAGCAGAAGCCCGACAGAATATCTCCTTCCATTCCGTGAATATTTTTCGGGACATTTTAAATTTGGTTTTCCTTTTAATATCGGCGTAGCCAGGACACCGAGACGTCTGGATCGGCCGTGGAATGCGCGGGGCGGGGCGGCACGGGGCGGCCCGCCGGTTTCGTCTCTCTCCGTCTCTCTCGCACTCACGGGGTGGCCCGAATGGGCGGGAGAGGGACGGAGCCATAAACCGCTGAGCGGAGGCATCAGTCGGCTGCCGCTGCGGCAAATAAAGTCCATCGCAGCGGTGCAGTGCAGAGGACGACGTGAAGCCGGCTATCTCGCAGGATCGCTTGTACCGCGCCGTGGAGGGCAGGGCGCGGTACGGCACGGCATGGTAGGGCACGGCATGGCACGGCATGGCACGGCGTGGCACAGCGTGGCACGGCATGGCATGGCGTGCGGTGTTACGCCAAAGCCACGCCGCGTTCAGCCCTACAGTCGGGAAACCTCCGGGGGACTCCTCCTCCCAGGAATGGCGGTGGCAGCCTGGCGGCGGCGGCCCGATCTTCGCCCTGCCTTCGGCCCTTCGGCGCGGGCCGCGGCTGCCGCGGCGTGGTGCATGGCGGCCGCGCGAGGGGGCAAAAACTCGGGATTTTCGTGTACACATGATTCGGAAAACTGCCTGATTTCGGTCAAATTTAGTGATTTTGGTTGATTTCGGATTGCTTGATTTCGCGTGATTCTCAACGATTCGCACGTGATTTCGGGGGCCGTGTACACATGATTGCGCGAGTTTTTGCCCCCTCGCGGCCGCGGCGACGCGGAGGATCGCCTGCTCCAGGATGCTGCAGTCTGCGGCCAGCAGACCGATACCGAGGGTCTCTCTGTCGCTCTGTCTCTCTCGCACTCGCGGGGCGTCCCGCATGGGTGCGACAGAGCGACGAGAACGCCGCGGGCCGCGGCACGTGGGGGACGGCGTCGTGACGGCGGGATCACCACGCCGGGGAGGATCACCGGCAGCAGGATCGTGGGGCGAGGCTCGGTGCGGCCGGCGCGGAGGACCGCGAGGACACCGAACACCCTCCCCCCCCCTCCCACCTGCCACCCCACCGCCCACCGGGGAGAAAGTAGGCCCGGTAATCGCTGTGGAAAGCCAGAGAGAGACAGAGCGATGCCGCGCGTCGCCGCTGTGATCGGGTGGGGGCAGGGGGACGAGGTGGGGGGAGAGGTACCTGCCGGCAGGTTACCTTCCGAACAGGCAGGCACCTGAGGTACCGGATGGGTACTGTGTGTGCGCAGCGCCTCGGTTGCCTCGGTCAAAGGGCGCGGGGGGGGGGGAGCAGGTCCTGATTCGACGCTCCTCTTCCAGGTCCTTGTCAAGGACCCTGTGATGGCGCTCGCAGCGGGGCCCTCGCCGCCGCTCTGCTGCTTTGGTCGGGTCTTGTCGGCGTCTGGGGCCTTTGAGAAGGGCGCGCGGACATCATCTCCGACAACAACAACAACAACAAGAGCAACAAGGTCATCAAGGACACGACAAGGACGGGAACCCCGGCGCGGCGGTCGGTCCTGGAGGAGTACCTGCAAGCGAATGTTGGCCTGCGAGTCCGACAGTGCAGCCGCAGTGTTTGGAGTCGAACGCACCTCGCCTTTGCGCCCGCCCCGCCCCGCCCCGCCCCGCCCCGCCCCGCGTGCACCGGCAGGATGGGGTGTGGCAACGGCGGCCGCAAGCTCCAGGCATCGTGTCCCTAGGGCGCAGCAGGACCGATTCCGAGAGTCGTTTTCGTCGCTCTGTCTCTCTCGCACCTATACGTGACGCCGCACGAGTGCGAGAGAGACAGAGAGAGGCGCGCCGCCTCACTTGCTCGCGTTGCCGCGGTGACATAATGACAAACGGGACGCCGCCCGCTGCCAAGCCCTGGCGGACCGGCGGCGCCCTAGGACCCTAATCAACCTGCAATAAATTTCGGAATCGTTTTAAATTATTTTTGTGGACTGATTCGACACTATGCCCACCTATGGCGCGCCGGGTTTTCATCATGACTTTTCTAAGAAGTCTTTAAAATTATTTTTCAATTTTCAATAACACCTGAAGAAAAGAGGAAAAAATCTCGGCCGGCCCTCCTCACCGAAAAAAAGGTGATTGCGGGTGACTAAAAAAAAAGACCCTTTCAATTTTCGTCATAAAAACTAACCCTGTCTCATTTTGGTGGTAATGTAATACAGAGTGGTGGAGCCGTCATGTGCGTCGAGACCTTGGGCGGACGATAAGGTAAGAGTCAATCGTCCTTCCAACTTTCTACGGCGGCGTGACTACGAGTAGTACCTTACCCACGCCCTTCCTAGCCCTGCCTAGCCCTGCCTAGCCCTGCCTAGCCCTGCCTAGCCCTGCCTAGCCCTGCCTAGCCCTGCCTAGCCCTGCCTAGCCCTGCCTAGCCCTGCCTAGCCCTTCCTAGCCCTGCCTAGCCCTGCCTAGCCCTGCCTAGGTCTGCCTAGCCCTGCCTAGCCCTGCCTAGCCCTGCCTTGCCCTGCCTAGCCCTGCCTAGCCCTGCCTAGCCCTGCCTAGCCCTGCCTAGCCCTTCCTAGCCCTGCCTAGCCCTGCCTAGCCCTGCCTAGGTCTGCCTAGCCCTGCCTAGCCCTACACGCCCCAGACAGACTCCAAAGACAGAGTGCGAGTGTGGCGCGGCGTCCGGCCTCCAGCAGACTGATTCCGAGAGTCGTTTTCGTCGCTCTGCCTCTCTCGCACCTATGCGGATGACCCTGCGAGTGCGAGAGAGACAGAGCGACGAAAACGACTCTCGGAATCCGTCTGCCTGCAGCGTCCAGCGGGGCAGACGGCGTGACCGCTCACCACTCGCCCACGCCCCGCCTCGTCCACGCGGGTTACAAGATCATCAGCAGCGTGATTCCCAACTGTGCTTCTTCATCGCCCTGTCTAGCTCGCACCCCTGCGGGACGACCCATGAGTACGAGAGAGACAGAGCGACGGAGGCAGAGTTGTTCGGAGTGAACCCCGCCGGGGCAAGGTGCGTCTGCCTGCACGACGGACTGCACAGTGGGCCAGAAGCGGTGGAGACGGCCAAAATTCTAGACGCGTTTTGAGCTCCAGAGTCGCTGAATGGGACTCGAACCGAACGCGTGACCCCACCAATGGATTCCTTGTTCGAAGAGCAATCCATTGGTGGGGTCACACGGTCGGTTCGGACTAATGGAGCTCAAAACGCGTCTAGAATTTTGGCCGCCTGCACCGGTCTTCTGGCCCACTGTGGACTGGTGTCCGATTTCCGCTAGTGACTGGGTGACTCGCACAGAAGGCAGCCTCCGTCATGTCCATGATACTCGTGCGCAACCGGAAGAAAAGAACGCTTCTCGGAACGGGGAAAAGTGCAGCCGGAGCCGGCGGGGCGGCGGGCTCGAACCCGTGACTCACGCGTGGCGCGGCGGCACGGTGACGCGGTCAGGCGCGCTTTCGGGAATATTTCTGGGGGTTGGGTTACGCGGGGAATGTGTGTCACAGCGATGAGGCTGGTTAGGTTAGGGCCGTCAGGGCAGGGCCGGGCAGGGCCGGGCAGGGTAGAGCCCCACGGCTGGGCGGCCGGCCGAGAGAAACCCATCAAGATAACCTTTGGAGGCGACTTCGTCTGCTTCTTCTTCTCCGTCAAGAAGCAGGCAGCCGCCCTTCGAGGCGCAAGAGCTCTCTTTCGGTTT